AATTCTACAAATAGTATCATAGTTAAAATAAATAATGTAATAAAAAAAGTTATTATTATTTTATGTAATAAAAACAAATTATTATTATTACATAAAAAAACTACAATTTTACTAATTAGAATGTTTTTATTTAGTTTAGTTTTTGAATTTTTAAAGACAAATCTAGAGATTAATTAAAAAATATATTTTAATTTTTTTATAACTCTATTTCTAAAAACAATTTTAATACAAAAAGTCACCATAAATATTAAAAAAATGAATTTTATAATAATAAAAATAAACAATTTAATATAATTATTGATAAAAATATTAATAGACATTAATAAAATTAAAAATATTTTTAATTCATTCTATTTCTAGTTTTTAAAAATTAAAACAATTTAAACAAAGTGGTTATTAAACCAATTTTATAATTTTTAAAATAATAAACAAATAATATCAATAATTTAATTTTTTATTATAAATAATTAGGTCATTAAATTTATTGGCATGTGATGAATTTTTGTTAAAAAAATAAAGTTAAGTCGATGATATAAAGTCATAAAAAAAATAAAAATAAAAATATAAACGTGGTGGCAATAACACTGTACATACCTCAAAATTTAATATTTTTTATGTATAAAAGTTAACTCAACAACACTTTATATCTCTCTTTACGATTATTCTTTTGCTTTTCTTGACTAATCTGCATGAACCATGTGGCGAGAAATTAAACTAGAAATAAATTTATATAAGCTATTATTAGGGTTTCATTTCATTTAGCCATGGTTGATCCAATTTTTTTATTTAAAATATTTTTTACTGAAATTATTATTTTATTGGTAGTTCATATTTAATGTATTTAAAAATTATAGTATTAAAAAGATGGGTTGCAACGTTACAGTATTTGGTTGGTGAAGTAGAAAAATAAACAATAAAAAAAGAAAAAAAAATGAAATGGTGTGGAGAACACTCCATTCACGTGGTGTCTGAAGTCAAACTAACATTTATTAATTTCCAAATTGAACAAAATACGTTAGGTTTTAAAATTAATTAATTAAATGTACTTAGTTTATAACTTTTTTTCACAAAATTAATAATTATTATAATATATGAATAAATTTATATTTTAATCGAAGAAAATATTTATAATGATAAATAAAGATAATATATTAAATATAAAACTTGATTTTACCAATATTTTTAATGAATAATATTATTTAATTATTTTATCTTTTATTTTTAAAAGTGATTCAAACCCTTTACTCATTACTTTCCTAACGCAACCAAAATTTCTAAATTTGCAAAGTTTAAATTCACTAGTTAAATATATAGCTTTTTACTATTGAAATTAAAACATTTAATAATGAATTGGTTTACGAAGAAAAAGCACGATAAAGTGTTAAAGTACAAGTACATAAATAAAAAAGATGAAGAGAAAATTGAATGCAAAAAAATAAACTAACCTCATTCTTCACCACTAGCGTGTCGTAGTAAATTTAAATAAATTTCACGGAAGCCTTTACTTTTTTGAATCAAATTGAATGCAGTCACGATAGACGAAATATATATAATGGATATAGATGAGTTTTAGTTACGGTTCAAACAAAAAGTTATGTCTCTCTATATCGTAGATAAGCACAAGATATATTCTGAGTTGGATTTTAGGAAATGTAAAAAAGTGATTAAGCACGAGTACTTGATGAAAGAAAAAATAAATAAATTTAAATTTAAGATATTTTTCTTTTACTCTGTCTGCAGTTTTTTTCCTATATTATTTTCATTCACTTGATTTGCTACGTCGGTGAACAGAGAGTTAATTTGAAAATATTAAAATAAGTGAGCAAATTGCAAAGTAACACGGAAGTCACGAGAAAGAAAAATAATAGTATAAGTGTATTTTATTGACCCTCTGAATCTAAGACACAGATCATACTCTTCAATGGAAATGGATAAGCAACAGTTTCATTTTCAAAACTGCACCTTCTTTTAGTTGACTTCAGACATTAATTTACCAGTGAAAACCAAGAATCAATATACTTTTTTTCCCTTGATTTGCTTTCTCTGACGTGATCTTTGAATTCTCTTTCTAAATTTTTGTTAATCAACTAAACTAATTCTTTCATATCCCATTTGCAAATTTCAACAATAGCCAGCAGTTTTTTCCATGCAAATAGGAACCAGGATCTGAAGGATTTTTGTGCAACTGTCAAAATTTTGTATTTTAAAAGTCAAGATTGCAACACTGTTTACCAAATTGTGGAAGATCGAATCTATATATATATAGACATGAAGGCACAAGTTCCATAAACCTCACCTCACTTCATTCCATTGAAAGCCACCATGGCCATCTCTCCAATTTTATTGTTTGCTGTTTTCTCTCTCATTTATGGCAATGGTGTTCTTCCCATTGAAGCTACCCATCATGTTTACAGAGATCTTCAGACACTTTCTTCAAACTCCTCTAATGATCAACCTTATAGAACTGCTTATCATTTTCAACCTCCTAAGAATTGGATAAATGGTATAATATTCCTACAATACAGAATAGTCTTGAATGATTAAATCTTCTTTCCTTACATCAGTTTTCTTTGGGGAATATTTAATATCTCTAACTAGTTTTCATTGGGCTTTTTTTTTTTCCTTGTCATTTGATGCTATGCTGGGGATATCGTGAAGATCCTAATGGTTAGTACTATTCTGTGTGACAACATGCATAATTATAGATAATATATTATGTTTATTGTTGACTGAAGAAATGGTTGTCTGTGGCTTTTTATGCAGCACCAATGAGGTACAAAGGACTTTACCATCTGTTCTATCAATACAATCCAAAAGGTGCTGTTTGGGGCAATATTGTTTGGGCCCACTCAGTATCAGAGGATCTAGTGAATTGGACACCACTAGAATATGCCATATACCCTTCTCAGCAGTCTGATATAAACGGTTGTTGGTCAGGCTCAGCCACTATGCTTTCTGGGGGCAAACCAGCCATTTTATACACAGGAATTGACCCCAACAATCACCAAGTTCAAAACTTAGCCACACCCAAAAACATGTCTGACCCATTACTTAGGGAATGGATTAAGTCAACCAAAAATCCACTAATGGCACCAACTACCGCTAATCAGATCAATGCTAGCTCTTTTAGGGACCCCACCACTGCTTGGCTAGGCAATGATGGGTACTGGAGGGTGCTGATTGGAAGCAAAGTAGACAGAAGGGGTATGGCAATTTTGTACAGGAGCAAAAACTTTGTTGATTGGGTCCAAGCAGAACAGCCCCTTCATTCAGCAGAAGGCACTGGAATGTGGGAGTGTCCTGATTTCTATCCGGTTCAGAATAAGAGCCCATTAACTACTGGCCTTGACACATCAGTGAATGGTGCTAATGTTAGGCATGTGCTCAAGGTTAGCTTGGATGATACCAAACATGATCATTACATGATTGGAACTTATGACTCTGCCAAGGATATCTTCACTCCTGATAACGGATTTGAGGGTAGCAAACCCGTTCTAAGACACGACTATGGAAAATATTATGCCTCAAAAACCATTTTTGAAGATGGAAAGAACAGAAGGGTCTTATTTGGTTGGGTTAACGAATCCTCAAGTGTTGCTGATGATATCAAGAAAGGATGGTCCGGAATCCATGTAAGTTGGACGCGATTTCCTTGTATATAAATATATATGCATATATATTTTTTCTTTTCATTTTTGAAACAAAAAAGAGGCCTTGAACATATTCTATAGTTCATTAGATTAGCTCATGGCACGGCCATGAAGTGATATCGTGAGGGAAACACATAACGCAAATTTATGTTGACTCAAATATTTGAATAAAATGGGCTAAACATTATTCAACAATGGAATCATATTTTGCAGACTATTCCAAGGGCCATCTGGCTTCACAAATCGGGGAAACAGTTGGTGCAATGGCCGGTTGTTGAAATTGAAAGCTTGCGTGTGAACCCTGTCCACTGGCCCTCCAAAGAAGTCAAAGATGGTGAAATTCTTCAAGTGGCTGGTGTTACAGCGGCACAGGTAGTTCTTACTACATGTCATATACAACAATCTTTTGAAGAGTAATATACTACTACTATGTCTGCAATATGTTAAGCTTGCATTTATACTGGTGCAATTACTACGCATATATATGTATATATATATATATATATATATATATATATATATATATATATATATATATATATATATATATATATATATATATATATATAAGCTCAACGAAAATTACACTTATCCTTCATATATGGTAGCAGATCATTAATTACAGCGTCATCTAGGAAAGGAGCATTATAACAAAAAATTATGATTGAAATACAAATACTCCTGTGACTAGCAGAATAAAGGGATGAATAGTATAGCATTATTCTGCATATGAAAATGGGTATATGAATTTGATTATTTGTTGGCAGGCTGACGTTGAAATTTCATATAAAGTGAATGAGTTTGGAAAGGCCGAAGTATTGGACCATTGGGAAGATCCTCAAATTCTGTGTAGTCGAAAGGGTGCAGCAGTAAAAGGTGGTTTGGGACCCTTTGGTTTGCTGGTTTTTGCTTCTCATGGCTTACAAGAGTATACAGCAGTGTTCTTTAGAATATTTAGATACCAAAACAAAAATTTGGTTCTCTTGTGTAGCGACCAAAGCAGGTATGTCCTTGTCTTCTGTGCCTTCTTTCGCTTTACTTTTTTGTTTTTTCTTTTATCAAACTTTGTTACTTGTCAAATGCTCCAAACTCTCTCTCTGATTTATGCAATGTCATACTTTGACAGGTCTTCTTTGAATAATGATAACGACAAGACCACCTATGGGACTTTTGTGGACGTGGACCCTCTCCATGAGAGCCTCTCACTAAGAACTTTGGTAAGTTGATGACGTAATTCTAATTCATTAAAAGGAAGTTTGTGGACTGTAGTGACCCATGTAGGGATCATATGAGAAAATGAATCATGCATTTGAAACAAAACTAACTCAGTTTTGTTGATCACATTCACAGATTGATCACTCGGTAGTAGAAAGTTTTGAAGGAGAAGGAAGGGCCTGCATCACAGCAAGAGTATATCCCACGATAGCCATTGATGACATGGCACAGTTATATGTTTTCAACAATGGAACTGCGTCTGTCGAGATCACAAAACTGAGTGCTTGGAGCATGAAGAAGGCAAAAATAAACTGAAATTAAACATTAAAGACTAAAACTGTGTTTAAAACAAAGTTCATTGTAACAATAACTTTCACTTCAACCGACATTAAAAATTTTGTATCAAGTAAAATAAATATACAAAATCCATAATAACCATTTAATATTTGTTTTGCATTATTAGTCTTTCAAATTTCATTACTGTACTGTAACAATTATTGTGTATCTATCAGTCTTTTATAACAGTTAGCAAGAACTATAGAAAAAAAAAAAGTTTTGTTAACACATTCTACGTGTCTATCAAGTACTTCTTTTTGTGTGACACAAATGTTTATAATAATGATAAATTTAAAACTATTAAAGATAAGATGAGACTAAATTTAAGTGACAATTATATTTTTTTTTACAACGACTAACACAGAATATATACATATTCTATAAGCATTCCGAACATCATTTTTTGAAATCTAACAAATATATATATATATATATATATATATATATATATATATATATATATATATATATATAAACACTTTAGTAATTCAATCAACACCACCCCAATATTAATTCATCTCAAGTTGTATTAGTATCCAAAATAAGCAGCATTTCAGTTTATATTAATATTTTTTTAGTCCGAACCTTTTACAAGTTATAGAATAAAAGTAATTTTATTAACACTAATTATATATATATTGTATTAGTACGATGCATAAGCCCTAAAAGCAATTGGAATCAATTTTAAAAAAAAACAAATGTTTATTTTATAAAAAAATTTATAATTCCCTTATTTTGTTTACTTAAAACCTTTTAAAAATCATTATAATTATGTGAATGATTATTCAATTTAATTGTGATATGTAAATGTCATTTTTATTTTTCATTTCAAAAATTTTATTCGATCAACAATTTTAAGAATTTTGATAGTTGTCTACGTATAATAAATTCCTTTCACGAATATAATTTGAACTCAAAAAATGACTATAACCAACTCCAATTGTTATTATGACTGAAATATCATATTTGAAACAAAATGCATCGAGGTCAGTTTACACACAAAACACAGTTAAAACTTGTCATCAATCTGCATTTTAGACCAACAACAATGTTTTTACTCTTAATCATTCTCACCTTCACCTTCATCATCTTCATTTTCATCACCTTCTTCATCTTCACGTGCAGCCTCTTCATCATTGTCATCCCCATCACCTTCTCCGTCTTCATTCTCATCTTCATCATTCTCACCCTCGTCAGCTTCATCCCCATTACCTTCTTCGTTTCCATTTGCAGCCTCTTCATCATTCTCACCCTCGTCAGCTTCATTCCCATTACCTTCTTCGTTTTCATTTGCATCCTCTTCTTCATCATTCTCAGCTTCATTATCATCCGTAACATCACTCTCTGAAGTCTCTTCACTATTCTGTCCCTCACCATTATCTTTAAGATCACTATGTGCAGTCTCCTCATCATTATCTTTAAGATCATTCTGTGCAGTCTCTTCATCATTCTCAGCCTCACCATTATCCTTAAGATCACTCTGTGCAGTCTTTTCATCATTCCCACCCTCGTCATTATCTTTAAGATCACTCTGTGCAGCCACTTCATCATTCTCACCCTCATCATTATCCTTAAGATCATTCTGTACAGTCTCTTCGTCATTCTCAGCCTCACCATTATCTTTAAGATCACTCTGTGCAGCCTCTTCATTATCCTTAAGATCACTCTGTGCAGCCTCTTCATTATCCTTAAGATCACTCTGTGCAGCCTTTTCATCATTTCCACCCTTGTCATTATCCTTAAGATCACTATGTACAACCTCTTCATCATTCTCACCTTCACCATTATCCTTAAAATCACTCTGTGCAGCCTCTTCGTTTTTCTCACCCTCAATTATTTCATTATAATCTCTCCGTACAGCCTCGCCGGTGAACCATGACACAGCATGAGGAATGATTTTGTCCCGTAATATGCAACTGCACTTGCCCATATCAACAAAATACACCTTAATAACAAAAAATGGTAAGATGTTTCAAAAGGAGAATAACAAATATGACTCGAATGACTTACCCAATGTCGTAATCCTGTTCTATTAAATTCTGGAGCTTTTCAAGCTATACATGCATGGAAGCATCAAAAGCAATTGTCAATAAAAATTATTTGACAACTTTCCAATAGATAATATATAGTTATGAATCAGATACGTACATCATCATCATCAAAATCAGCATCATCCTCAGGGACTTGGGGAGGATTAAAAAAGTTGAAGAAACTTTCACATCTTTTTCTGTTAGAGAGAAATTTAACATTCTTTGATCCTTTTCGTCGCCTCTTCCTAAGAAGCTTTTGTGTCAGGCACCTTTCTTGTACCCACTTAATCTCCGTCCTACAACGTTTAAATATTAAAAATATATTTGCAAAAATTGAAAACATGGATATAAACATTTGCAAATTAACAAATATTTCTTACCCTATTGCTTTCTCCAGTACACGTTCATCATCGTCAACCATGTAATATGTTTTTGTTAGCCGAGCATTTTTGAAATAAGGATTAGTCACAAAGAAAAAATCCAGCTTGAAGCCCTTGGGATCGTCAATTCTACACCACTTGATATCTCTAAGATACGTGAGGGCCCCCTCATCACGTCCAGTGATCTAATAAAGGGGAAAAGAAAAGTACATAATTATCCCACAATCATTTTAACAAATGGAACTGTAGAATACATATATACATAAATTCCTTGCCTCTTTAGCCAGTGTTTCATTGTTCTTCATCGCAGTTAGCCAGAAGTTCGGCACTCCATTAGCTGAATTATAAAAGGACAGTTCAGATAGTGTTGAGAGAAAATGCACAATGCTACAATGGTAAACAAAAGTAAATAACCTACCCTCTGTGGCTTTGTCTGCTTCATCTGTAACTCCTTCTACCTTTTTGACGCCATTGACAATCTCATACCTCTGTAACAACCAAAAACAATTCAAAGTCAAAAAGATAATTGGTTACCATTGTGAGGTGGCGAGTAATTCTTTCAGTGAGATTAATATGCCATCAAATCCAATGAAATTACAGATCCTCTTTGAACAAGAAATCTCAAAAATCAAAGATATCTGACAAATAAACAAGGCCCACAATGAACTATCAACATACTTTTAAGTAGAGTGGTTCATAGAGCTTCAGGTATTTAGCCTCCAACTTCAATCGCTCCTCAAAAAACTTAGCCGCAAACTCATCATATTGTTTCTGCATATTGAAACAAAATTAGAATTTCATTTCTGCCACTGTTAATGTAAAATGAAATTTCAAGCATGAAGCGAGAGGGACTGGGAGTCGATTTTCTATCACAAATAAAAATTAACTTGGGCTGCTTCCGAGTATTGAAATTGGGCACAAGTAAATAATTATATTATCTAGAATGATTGGAGCAATTCCATGACATTCTTGAGAGTTGAGAATATTATTTAATCAAATACTTGCTACATATCAGCACTCTCTTTGCTTTTTCAAGATAAAGGCACAAAACAGAAAACCATTTGTTTTGGGGTTCGAGTAGAAAGACAATTCCACCATTTCAACTTTTAACACAGGAATAAAATTTTCAAAAATGAAAGGAATGAAGTTAACTTAATAAGGTAAACACTCAATGGATTAAGTTTCAATAGTATCCCTAAATAAATAATAACAATTAGCTCACAGTCATCCACTCATGAACACAAGTGACCATAACAACCCAATAGATGGCAGCAGCATCAAACCTGTAGCCCTTTGAGATAATCCACACGTTTCCTGACATTTGGTGTCAGTGTCTTCCTGAAGTTCTTATGCTGCTGGGAATAAAGCCCGAGCTTTTCCTGTATCAAGAATGTCAACAGGATTAACTAAAATCCTGATTTCTTTCTTTCTTGTTGATTCCCTATAATTTCTCTTTACTATTTAAGTATACATATTACACAGTTAATTTACTTGCTGTTTTATTTCATTAATTGACAGATTTGAATAACTAAAACCTTGAGTAATCCAAAGTTTCCTTGCATGACTATAGGCAAATTTTTCTAGTACATTAAAATTCTTATTGAAAAATCACCATATGAACACACAAAAACAATATTGAAAAGTCACTATTAACACATGTATGGATGTAAGACAGTGGTTTTGAAATGATAAATTCCTTTGACATTTGAAAGGTTCAGCATCCCATATCCAGGAAAGTGAAAAAAAAACAAAACAAAAAGATGATTATTGAAATCAATTTCAATTGCTTGATCAACGAATGCTATGGTAGACAAATTCTTTGGTCATTACAAGGACATTATTTGAAAAATGAATTATTAAAAAGAAATAATTATATAGAAAATCTTCACAATTCTTGCTCAAATAAGAAACAAGAAGAACACACAAATAAAAAAAAAGAGTCGATTGATAAAGGTTTCTATATTTTATAAAGATCAGAAAGGGCGAGAGAAGATAAAAGAGTTGAAGAAAGACTAATTGCATTATGGATTTCACATTATGTAATAGATTCTACAAAATTACTCTTACGGTTACATTATAAACTTACCGCGATTTCATGGACGAGATCAGAAAGTTCCTCAGAACTAGGAGCTGCACACAAAAACAAACACTAGAATTTACACTTAACTTTAAAAATCAAACAATAACAATTCTAAGGTGTATCCATTCATAAGTTCGCGAAGTAACTTTCGAAACAAAAAAAAGAGTAAAGAAAGTTATAAGAAAAAGAAGAAATAGTTCCAAGAAACATTTGTCGGCGGCGTAATTAAATAAATGCGATGAAGATTACCGCCGGCGGCATCCCGAAGATTGAAGGTAAAATTGGACATGGCGGAGAAACCAAGTGATTGGGAAGCAAGAAATCGGAGAAGAAAATCACAAAGAGAGAAGTAGGGAAAACTGAACAAAACGATGAATATTTTTTGAAATTTCAGTGCGTATATATATATAGCTTGATTTTTTTGGTTTTGGCGCGTAAGGAACGTTGAAAACAGTTAAATTAGTTATAAACTTAGTTGAAAAGTTATAGTAGAAGCTAATATTTTTGTTAAACCAATTTTTAAATTATAAATATTTAATAAATTTAATCATTAAAAATACTATAAATACGAAATGGTTAAACATAATATGTTTATTTTATAAAGTTAAATTTAATATATCTTCCTAAGAAAATATTAATAGTTAAAAAGAAATTCTTATTAGTATAAACTATTCATTGTAAAGTCAATTAATACAATTTATATGAATTAAAATATTTATATATTATAAATTTTTAATATCATTTATATTAAACATTTATTTTAAAAAATAATTATATAAAATTACGCATTTATGTTATACATTTATACCACCTAAAATACAAAGGTATGATACTATTTATTTTCATATATAAACTCACTCTTTAAATTAAATCTGGCATATATTAATATTGAAATCAATTAATTTGGATATTGGTAACATCTGTTGTATTTTAAGTCTGCAGACATAATGTTTTAATTGCAATGTGGAGGGAATAAGGAACTAAATACTGAAACAATTTTGACCAAAAATTTAGGTCATTGGAAAGATTTTGGGAGAATGAATTTAAATGGGCAAGCCTCACAATGTACGTCTACACTTGATTCAATTTTCCTAGCTTCATGTTTCATAAGAAAGTCACTTGGTTTCTGAGTGCTGAAATTTGGATTTTAATGCTTCAATAACAGCAGAAAAGTCCTGATCACTAAGGCCATGGGATTTTGCAACTTTATATAACTCATTAGCAGCTGCTGCAATGGGAGTGGATTGGGAAACAGACTCTGCTAATCCCAGGGCTAGTCTTAGATCCTGTCACCATCAATTTTTCATGTGTGAGCAAAGTTATTAATCATCAAGGCTGAAAGTTATACAACAGGAATGTCAACATTCACACACCTTCTGCTGATGCTTTAGAGGGAATGCAGTTGGGTAAAGCGACTGTATCATGGATGGACCTTTGGTTGAGTACATTGGAGCACTAATGGCACCCTGTGAAACTACCTGCAAAATTGCCATTTCATAAAGGCTTCAACATATTTTTAAGTACTCATGACACTACTCTTATAAACAACAATGAAGATGAATCTTAACATCAAAGCATGAGCATCTATACACAAATTAGAAACAACTAGAAAATTCCCCAATATGAAATCCAGGAAAATGCTTTTTTGACCATATCAGGTGGGTTGTATTTCATGGAGAAAGAAATAGCCAAATACCTGCACTAGTACATCTGGATCAAGCCCAACTTTCTCGCTGAGAAGTAAGCCTTCAGAAAAGGATGCCATCATACTATGGATCATTGGAAAATATAGAAAGAAATAGTGTCACCTTAATCATTAGTGCAGAAGGAGAAGTAACAGCAAAAGCAGGAAACAAATTGTAAAAGACCTGCCCATGATCATATTGACAACGAGTTTCATTGCAGCTCCATTTCCAACATCACCAAGATAAAATTTAGACTGCATAGAAGCATAAAAATACATGAATTGATTATTTGTCTTGCCAGAAAGATTAGAGAATTTTATTTAAATAAAAAATAGAGATATACTTTCCCCATGACGTCCAAGAGAGAAGCAACTGTTTCATAAAGATTTTTGTCCCCTGAAATATATTATATACATTGCCTCAGTTTCTGTAAGTTCTCAATACTCTGGTCAGAATAGAGTCTGATGCTTTCAGAATGGTACGCAGTGTTAATTATGCAAATGGGACCTATAAAGGAAAAAACCTCTTTACAGTATCACTTGTTTATAAGTTCATAATTTTAAATATCTGCAGCTACCTTTTATTGCAATAGGTATTACAACTTACATGTTACACCCCGAATTTTCTTCTGTGAAAAAATAAACATCTCCTCAACTATTTTCCCATGGCAAATTGAATTAAGTTAGTAGTTGAATAAGAATATTCACCTGCTGTAAGAAATATCAATTGCCCATCTTCTGCTGGCTTTTTTGAACCTGAAACTGGAGCCTGTGGGTACATAGAAATGGCATCACAGGTGTTACAATACAACTTACAAAATCATTTATCTAACTGTCCAATTAAAGGCAGCAATGTATTTAAGCATATCCCAATTACATAGCACCCTGAACGCGCCATAAAGAATAGGTATGGATTAAAAACTATGAAAAATTGCACCTCTAGAAATAATGCTCCAGTGGATTTTATGTGCCCACTAATCAATTTAGAAGTGTCCCCATCAACAGTTGAAACATCCACGTAGCTGAAAATATATAATTAAAACGAAGGTCTATCTCTCATTTTGTCATTTAAAAAAAGTAAACAATTAAACAGGCATATAGTGAACCAAGATATGCAATGTCTTGATAACTATGGAAATATGGTTAGTCTATAATCGAACTAGAGATAACAATTTTCAATGAAAAGATTATGGAATGAGAGGGTAAAAGAGCATCACTCTGTGTGTGGCTCAGAATCAAATTTGATTTCAAATGCCATTACATGTCATATTGAAGCAATATACAAGAAAAAAAAATAAAATTGAGTTTAAATATAGCACCCTTTCCCTGGACCCATCCCGTTCACAGCTCCATGCTTCCCACAAGCAACATCCAACTGATATGAAACAGAGTTAACCAGCTTAGACACTAATATATAACCTTAAAAAAAAACTACAGCAAAGTATACGCACTGCACTTTGAGGATCAGCAAGCATGGCAAAGGTGACATCGCAAGATGCTGTTACTTCCTCAGGAGAGGGTTTATATCTGCAGAAAACAAATACACAGGCTTTCAAACACACATTGAATTTGTAAATCTAGTTCTTCTCTTTATGAATCTTTTCAAACGCAAGTATCATCCAAAAACCACAGATACACAAATACGACATTATAATCGTGTATCTGAATATGAACGAACTTACTTTGCTCCAAGGTTGATTAAAGGGTCACACTTGCTCTTGGTCCTATTCCAAACAGTGAGATCAACTCTACAACAAGAAGGAATGTTAATTAATAAGAAGTGCGACAAAACAAACAAGGATGAAGCACAACAATAAAAATAAAAAGATAGAGAACGAGAAATGCACTGAGAAAGTAAATTACCCAGCTTTAAGGAGATTATTGGCCATTGGGGAGCCCATGATTCCGATGCCCAAAAAGCCAACCCGTGCGGGTGGCTCGGTTACTGGAAGCAGAGCACAGTATGATTAGGGACACTAGAAACTGAAAGGAATAATAGTGATAATATTATTCTTACTAGCTTCAGCTCGTGGCGAAACATATGATGAAATGGGAGCAGAGAAGCGCTTCATAATCATCATGGGTGCAAGGTTCAAATGATGGGGAATATGAGAGCAAAACATGGAACACATCAACACACAGATGTGCTCACTCTTAACACTACCACTGTAGATAAGAGGGAGGGCAGATTCTTTTTTTCTTTTTTTTCTTTTACCCTCTCTCCTCACTCTTGTCCGTAATTAGCAAGAGGAATGAAAAAACATGATTAATAAAAATGAAAGTTAATTTATTCACTTTATTTTTTTTAATGTTTCGACATCTTCTCAAAATTTTTTTTTATTTAGACATGAATATTAAAATTCATATGAATTTTATGAATTTTGTGTTAACAAATTTTAGGTCATGTATATATATAATACATAATTTAAATGTGTTATGGTCATTATTTATTAAGCCAAATAATAAAGGGATCTGACTAAATTAAAAAGTTTGGCTAAAAGCATATGTCATGAAAATAAAATTATATAGATACCATAGAGCAATTTCTAATTTGATAAGGGGCCAAATTAGAAATACTAAAATTTAAGTAATTAACCTAATTCTGGTTATTTTAAGGGGTCGTGGTCCCCTTCTGGGAGCACGTAGACAAAACGTAAGTTTCATTCTTGTTCCTTTCTTTCTATTCCCATAAAGAGAGAAAATCAAGAGGGAAATACAGATGTTCTTCAGGTGAAAGACCATAACATCAATATAGTGCTCTATAAAGACATCATCATTATGGTTAATTCAGGTACGCTTTTGCATTCAGTTTACAGCATGTTTATCAATATGAGATTACGTTTATGTTTGATCGTTAGAATCAAAATCAGGATTATTATTATTATTATTGATTTTCCAACAATTGGTATCAGAGCCGCCCATATTTGATTCATGTCTGTTTAATTTATAGAACCCTAATTATAAAAATTATGATTAATTTTGTTTTTAAATAATTCAAATTACCCAATTTTATGAACCCTAAGTGGAGAATAATCTCCAATTTTCATGAACCCTAAATTTTAAATTTGGGGGTAACATCCCCAATCTGATTCTGCTTGCTGATGGAACCGTGGAGGAAACTATGGATTCTTCTTCTTCTTCATTTTTCCCTTTTATTTCAGTTTAAGTTTCAAGTTTTACTTGAGAAAGAAAAAATGTTTCAAATTTCAATCTTTCTTGTGTTAGGTTCTCTATTCTTTTTTGAATCTTTTGTTTTTATTTAATTTTATGGGTTTGGAATTGGAGGTGGTGTTTGGGGAATTTCCAACACAGAAAATCTTAGGTAAATGGTGAATGTTTCCACAGGTGTGACTGTTCTTATTTTATTGCCTTTAGGAAAATTTGATGTTAAATTTTCCTGTTTAGGGTTTGAGTGATTACTGTTTAATCCCCTTTTAGGGTTTAGAGCAGTATGCTAAAGAGACTCATAATTATTTCTGTTTCATCCCTAGTGTGATTTTAGGGAGATGTTCATCCTTTATGTATTGGTGAAAAATGAGGCCTTTTTTCATCCTTTGATTTGTTCAAATGAGGTGTTTATCCCTAATGAGATTCTAGGGAGGTGTTCATCCTTAGTAGAATTCTAATGAGGTGATTCTCTTTTGAATTAGTTTGCAAATATTAAATATTTGGTTTTGTTATATAAATAAAATATTCAATTTTTTGGTAGTTTAATATTTTTTGTGAGCAAATTGAGTCAAGAAGTCACAAAACTAACCTCTCTTGAATTGGGCAGCTCATGAAAAATATTGAATGTTAGTGTTTGTGTATATTCATGCGAGTATTAGTCGGCCCAAAGGAAGATTAATATTTGGCCGAATTGCATACACACTTGTAATGATAAACATGTGATAATTATAAGGATTTGCTTTGTCGATGATAAATCAATCCAAAGACTGGTTTGTTGTTGAACGTGCTTTATTGTCAATGTTTGATTATTACAACAAGATACTGTTAGAATCGCGCAGCGAAATGTTCGCATGGTCGGACAAAAACCAAGAGGGGGGGTGAATTGGTTTCTTAATAAAAAGTAGGTTTTCAAAATTTTTCCCAAATTTTACCGATTAAAAACTGTGTAAATGTAAATAGAGAAGAGTAGAGAAGATTACACAATAGGTTTATACTGGTTCGGATCAAAAGACCCTACGTCCAGTTGCTAATCACTCAAAAGAGGATTAACGCTGTCACTAAGAACAAATTGTTACAAAACAAATTACAAATGAAAGAGATAAAGTAAAGACAACACCTCTCTTGAAATCCACAAGAGATGAAGAACAACTTTCCCTAGAGACGGCACAGCACACAATCCACTAAGAACTCCACTTAGTGATTCTTATCGCTTCTAGCCCACACCAGGTTCCAAAAGCCCCCTTTCCTTGCAACAAACAGTTCTCCGGCACTCACGACACTTAACTTTTGTATGGAAAGAGTTGTTCTACTTTTACGAGTGCCAAAGGAGAGTTTAAGTAGGGAAATTAGGGTTTAGGAATTGGGGATTTCGAAACTAGGGTTCTTGGTAATTGGGTTTTCGAAAATAGGGTTAATTTGAAATTTAAAATGAAAAAGCAGTTGAAATAATCGATTATTTGGAGTGATAATCGATTAAAAGCGAGCCAAATACGTCGGAACCCAAACCTCTCTGGATTAATCGATTATTTGGTGAAATAATCGATTATCTATGCTGGAACGGTACGAAATAATCGATTATTTTGCTGTTTAATCGATTAAAACAATGACTTTGTATAGAAAGTGGTTTTCTCACTTGTTTTAATCGATTATTTACCTATTTAATCGATTAAAGTCGAGCACTGAATGATAAATTTGAGCTTTTTGAAGCTTCTAAGTTACGGACTATGTACCAGCTATCTTAGATTCTATAATTACGAGACTCAATCAAACTAAAACGAGTTATTACAATACGAAATCATCAATCTTCAATCTTCAATACTCTAAGTCTTTAAGTTCTTGGATCATCATCAAAATCAACATTCTTCATGATCATTATTTGCAACATCAAGTCCTTGAATGTTCAACAATCTCCCCCTTTTTGATGATGATCAAAATTATCTTTTTAAAGCCCTTGTAATAACCTGTTTTATCTGTCATACTAACAAACACATTAAACATACCAGATAAAATTTAATATTGAATCATAGGCTTTAAATTTTTCTCCCCCTATTTTGATTATAATCAAAAAGAACCCTGCAACATCAATCATAAGAGCTCCCCCTCAAAATATGCATAAGTTAGAGAAAGCTTCCCCTCAATTATAGCATGAAAGAAACATCAAATTTTATTTCATAATCATTCATTCATTACAATACAAAGATATAAACAAAACAAAATCTAAAATTCTTCACTATCCTCATCTTTAAAGTGAGTATCAAATCTATTTTCTAATCTACCTACTCTATCATCTACATCGGATATACGACGAATAATTTCATCATGCCGTGCACCAGAAAGATTGAAGAATGATTGCATTCTTTGATTCATGTCGGAAAGCATGTCTTCCATGGATTGTCTTGATTCTTGATGAGAAGAGGATGTTCCAACACTTTGGATTTGGTTAGAGGGAAAATTAGCAGCTGGAGGCATATCTTCATCAGAGTCTTCATTTGCATCACCTTGATTTTGAACGTCATCTTTGTGAACATAGATGTCATTGACTCGCACCATTTGAAGTTGAGTCAATGTGTTGTCTAGTATGCGGTTTAAGTTGGTTGTTCTAGCTGCTTGCTCACCTTCGACATTCACTCCTTTATATTCAAGAATACGGGATACAAGAAGGGCATATGGAATTTTGAAAGTGTGATGACGTTTTGCTTTAAGCATGGTCATTGTGACAAGAACACCCCAATCTAAAGGTTCATTATTCATTATGGCATGAATAATTCGAAGATCAATGGATGAGCATTGGGCATGATTCGTAGCCAGGGGACATAAGATCCATACGAGTAAATGTAGAAGCATGCGTTCTTCCTTCTTTAAAGGTCTAGCATGAAGGATACGTCCAATCTCCATTGAGGGATTCAGTAGAAAAGAGCGATAAGCTAGAAACCTGTCAAAGTCATCTAGCTCACCATAAACGTTAATAGCATCTTCTCTAATGGGGAAGTGAGCAACATTTTCCCAAATATCATCATCTAGAATTATGGTAACCCCTTTTACACGGGATGTAGCAATTTGATCCCTAAATTTGAATCTAGAATAGAATACCCTAACTAAGTCGGGATAGTATGTACCTTGCATTTGGATAAATGGGAGAACTCCTTGAATTTCAAGAAGATTAGGAAAATTGAAACCCCTACGAATGAATTGCTCACCAATAAGAAATTTGGGAGAAATAATAGCTTTTTCTTTCCAGTAGGTTAGAAATTCTTGTTGGTCATCTGCATCGGAGATCCATCCTTCTACGGAATTAGGACGGGAATGAGAGGAAGGTGCGAGATCTTCTTTTTGTAGGAATCTTAGGGCGAGAGGATGAGGCCATTTGAATGAGTAGATAAACTTGAAGAGATTTTGGAGACAAGTGAGAGAATAATGAAGCAAAGAGAGTATAGATTGCAAGAAAACTTGATTACAAGAGTTAGAAGTGAGTATAATTGAACTAGAGGTCTCTATTTATAGAGTAAACACTTCCAACGGTCATATAGAAGAGATTCCATGGCAAAATATCCGTTGGCAACGGCTAGGAGGCAAAATTGGTCGCATTTAATCGATTATATTTCAAGATAATCGATTATTTCTATATCGAGACAACTTTAATCGATTATTTCCAGCAATTAATCGATTATCGGAGGAATTTAATCGATTATTTCACGAAATAATCGATTATTCCGAAGGAGAATACCCTGTTTTGGACGTTTTGAGGGAAAATAATCGATTATCACTTCCGATGTCGATTATTCCGGAGGCTATATCAAGTTTTTGAGATTTATATGCATAATAACCTATGAACATGCTACACCACGAATTTTAACATAACAATTATCCGAGAAGCAGTCAAATTAAGCAGATTTTAAGCTATTTCTAATATCCCTAAGTCTCTTCTAAGATCATAGAATCTATCCTTGGGTAGAGG